TTACTGATGAATGCACCATGGCATCCAGTCATGCTATAAATGCCATAGACAGATTATTAAGAGAAATTATGAATCTGAATGTTGTATTTGGTGGAAAGTTCTCCATCTTGGGATTTTCAACGTCTCAGTATTGTGCCGCATGCTATGCGATCGGCCATAGTACAAACAAGTTTATAGTACTGTAATGTTTGGGGATGTTTCAGAAAGTTGTCTCTTACAACAAATATGAGATCAGAGGATTCTGCTTATAGTGAATGGTTAGTAAAACTTGGAGATGCCAAACTTGATAGCAGTTTTCATTTAGGAATGGATATTCTTGAACTCCCCTATGAAATGATTTGTAATGGATCTATTATTGAAGCTGCCTTTGGAAATAGTATATCTATAGATATATCTAGCCCTAACTGATTTGGCTCAGTGGATAGAGCGTCGGCCTGCGGACTGAAAGATCCCAGGTTCGATTCCGGCCGAGGGCATGTACCTTGGTTGCGGGCACATCCCCAGTAGGAGGTGTGCAGGAGGCAGCTGATCAATGTTCTTCTCTCATCGATGTTTCTAACTCTCTATCCCTCTCCCTTCCTCTCTGTGAAAAATCAATTATATATATATATATATATATATATATATATATATATATATATATATGCAATTCTTCGTCCAAAAAATGGGCACATTAAAAAATTAAATGAAGAAATTTCAGATATACTCGATGGAGATTTTCACACATATTTGAGTGATGATTCCATTGATTCAACAGATGATGCTGAAAAGGAAAATTTTCTCATCAGATTTCTTAATAGTATTACTTCTTCGGGAATGCCGTGTCATAAATTAAAATTGAAAGTGGGTGCAATCATCATGCTATTGAAAAATCTTAATAGTAAATGGGGTCTTTGTAATGGTACCGATTTATTATCAAAAGATTGTGACCTAACATTATCGAAGCTGAAGTATTAACAGGATCTGCAGAGGGAGAGGTTGTTCTGATTCCAAGAATGATTTGTCCCCATCTGACACTGGGCTCACATTTAAATTGATTCGATGACAGTTTCCCGTGATGCCAGCATTTGTGATGACTATTAATAAATCACAAGGACAAACTCTAGACAGAGTAGGCATATTCCTACCTGAACCCGTTTTCACATGTGGTCAGTTATATGTTGCTTTCTCTTGAGTTCAAAGAGCATGTGACGTTAAAGTTAAAGTTCTAAATACTTCATCACAAGGGAAATTAGTCAAGCACTCCGAAAGTGTTTCCACTCTTAATATGGCGTACAGGGAGATATTAGAATAAGTTTAATCACTTTATCAGTTGTTGTTTGCATCACTGTTGTCTTTATATCATGTTTTTGTTGTTTTATATCATTTTTTTTGTTTTCAAATCATGTTTTTGTTGTTTTTATATCATGCCTCTGTTGTTATATCCTTTTGTTACTGTTTATTTATTAATAAATGTATATTATTTTTCATATACATGTTACTAATTTCCTTTCATCACTCACACTTCTATTATAGAGAAAGGGCAAATAGCAATATTAAAATATTTCCTCTAATTAATTCCCTTTTAATGTGCAAATTTCATGCACCGGGCCACTAGTATGCTACATAATACAGCAGGCCTGCTCACGGGGGTGGGGGACTAGGAAATAATGTATAGGAACTTCTTGATTTCATCGTACAAGACAAGTACAAAAGCACCACCCATGCCTCTGAGAATACTAGACGACGCATCCTTGTAAAAGCTTTGCCTCCTTAGTCAGGAGCAATCTTCCTCCAGCAGCCCAGCGCTCTGTGAACATGACATCAGTTCCTCCCTGCTAACTGCATCATCAGGCTGCAAGGAACCTTGTGAAACAGAGATGAAGTCACCCCTGCCATCGCCAGGGCAGGACTGTGCAGTGACCAGCTGAGGAAGACGTGGGCATTCTGGAGATCTGGAGCATTCCCTTTGCAGTGCCACAGGTGCCGAAGCAGGCAGCTCGGTGGGTGACAGTACCCTACAGTCACCCTGAAGCTCTGTACAACCCTTCATCTCACTGGATTTGGAGATCTGAACCAGGCAGTCACCAGAGACTCTGACTTCCCTCTCACTCCAGCTTTGCCCACATCAGCTGCTAGACCACTACGGGCAAAATCAAGGTACACAAAACACAAAGGGGGGAGGGGGGAGCCCAGTGGCACCACCTGATGCCGATTCCCTGCAAGTAGCTCCAGAATTGGGTTCTCGTGTCCACAGCCCCCAGGACAATGTGCTTGTTATTTATCTTCGGAGACAAAGTTGAGAGCCCGAGTGGGGAAGGATCTGTTACCAGCCAGAAGGACAGGGCTCCCTGCTCCTTGGGGATGGGACCCAGGTAGCCTACAATGCCCTGGCATTTGCTTGTCTGCCAGGACTTGCTGACAGGGTGCAACTGCAGCCACAGCTCCACCCGCTCCGTGGGGGATACCACCGGCCGGGAGATGGCCACAGCTGCTCCACCCGACAGGAAGTCCTTAAGAACACAGCGGCATCTATGATACTGAAAGGAGAGAAGTGGGAGACTGCAGGACTGGGCTTGTAACCAGCTGGGACTCTAGTTGGCTATATACTCTTAATGAAAGTTAGTGTAAGAAGAGAAGTATTGTAGAAAAATTAAAATTTTTACATAATAATTTTGTTATTGGAGACTTCAGTATAGTTTATTCTGAAACTTTTTATGTGTATTGCAAGATAGAGTAAATGAAGAAATATATTGATATCTATTGCTAAGATGGAGGATTCTCACTTTGAGAGAAAGGAGATACACAGATGAAACAGGAAAAAGAAAAAAACCCTGTGGTATTGAGTTAGAACTGATGGAAGGGAGCGGAGGAGGAAGGGAAGGAGTAAGGAGTTTTGGGAAGGGGGAGGCAGGAAGGAAGAAGGGGGAGAAAAGAGGGAAGGAGGGAGTGAGGGAGGGAGGGAGGGAGGAATGAAAAGAGGGGAAAAAAGAAATTGAACCGTGTTTTCCATCTCTGTCCACTTAAAGGGCCTAGAAGTCATGATACTCCAGTAGCAAGACCATGCCAAGCATTCAGATATGAGCTGGGGCAGGGAAAGGACATGAACCTGGAATATGGTACTGTGTCAAACTGAAGAAGTGCTCAAAAGAAAGGACCTGAGAGGCAGGTTAAAGGCACCCCACTGTCCAAATGTAAGACAATTTAGCATCAAAAAGAAAAATGAAAATAATACATCAGATTTAAAGAGAATCCAGGGGTTAAAAGTGATACTAATAAATGTGGTGTCCTTTACAAATGAATGCCAAGTAAGAAATGTATGAGGAATAATAACTAGAAAACCAGCATTTTGCATCCACGAGCAAAAAAATCACTCAGCAAAAATCAATTGATCTAAAATCATAGGATGAAATTCTATGGGGGAAAAGGATATTCATATGGTCTCAAAATATCAATGTATAGTGTCTACTACGGGAAAAAGATAACTACTGTTACAATGTACAGCAAGCATGTCAAACTCATGGCCCACAGACTGAATGCAGCCCATAATGAATATTTTTGCGGCCCAGCCAATATGAAGGTATGTAAGAAATATTTTAATAAAAATTTTGTAACTTAATTTACAATATCCTGTTATACATAATTATTAATAACAAACTACAACGTTCGCTAATGACTGATTATTATAATCGTGGTGCATTCATTTCCTTTACGCACCTTATGTGCCTTATGCGCAGGCGCACCATTTCTCTCCACTAATACTAGCAGCGAATATTTTTAGCAGCCGATTGCCACATCATTAGTCTTGTACTGATTTGTTTGGTGTGCACAATAGGAAATATTTCACTTTCGGAGAACAAGAAAAATAGGTTTATTTGCATTACACTTATTAATTTCTGCAGTTATTCAGTGTCTGGTAAGTTAATGTTCAAGAAAAAATATTAATTTTTCTTAAAATGTTCTATTGTTTTATGTTAAGGATTACTCATTTATTTCAGCCCTTTGTATTCAGCATGTCTCTATAAAAAGAAGCCTATGTTTCTATGAAAATTGAAGCTTTTGTTTTCTTGCCATCCACATAAACTTAAACCTTGTTTATTTGGCCCGTGATAGCCTTTGAGTTTGACATCTTGATGTACAGAGATGCAGACTCCACCTTAAGTGATCAAACAGTGTAACCCAGCGGTTCTCAACCTGTGGGTCGTGACCCCTTTGGCAGTCAAACGACCCTTTCACAGGGGTCGCCTAAGACCATCCTGCATATCAGATATTTACATTACAATTCATAACAGTATCAACATTACAGTTATGAAGTAGCAACGAAAATAATTTTATGGTTGAGTCACAACATGAGGAACTGTATTTAAAGAGCCAGAAGGTTGAGAACCACTGGTGTAACCGCTAACAGAGCAAACTGGTATTGCTTGCTCCTGATGTGATGCAACGTAGTCTTCCTGCCCAAAGTATTCAACCTGAATCCTGTCATGAGAAAACAACAAGGAAAATCTAGAATAAAGTCCTAAAATACAAGAAAAATAACTAGACTCTTCTAAGACGGCATTCCTGAAAGCCCCCCAAAAATACAACAGAACAAGGAAAGCTGGAGAGCAGAGCTGAAGATGAGAAGAGACGAAGGCAGTGTTCTCAGCCTTCCGGTCCTTTAAATACAGTTCCTCATGTTGTCTCCCAACCATAAAATTGTTTTCGTTGCTACTTCATAACTGTAATGTTGATACTGTTATGAATCGTAATGTAAATGTCTGATATGCAGGATGGTCTTAGGTGACCCCTGTGAAAGGGTCGTTCGACCGCCAAAGGGGTTGCGACCCACAGGTTGAGAACCGCTGGACTAAGGGGACAGGACGGCCTGACTGGATCCTAGGACAGGACAGCTTACAGGATATTTGGAGGAATTTGAATATGGATTGTGGTTTAAACAACAGTACTTTATCAACATTAACTACCCAGGGAATCACATACACATACTTCCAGAAGTTCGGGGACACATATAATTAGCATACCTTTGATGGATTAATTACAATATTTCTGGCTGAGCCATGTTCGTCTCCCGTAAAGGCCGGCTGATTGCTGAAGCCTTGCTTTACATTCACAGCAGTGAGTTCATCCTGGTCAAGAAAAAGGTATTAATTAATGAGAAGGATGTAAGAGCTCCAACTTAACCCCTCCTACTACAGCCTAGCGACTAACTTTGCTGTACTCTGAAGAGAACTGTTGAAAGCACACCAAAAGAAGCAAAAATTAAAGTTTAAAAACCAATATATAAATGTATAGAAAGAGATCAAGTGAATGTGGCAAAATGTTGACAATTATAGATTCTAGCTGTATGGTACATGGGTGTTCCTTATACTATTCTTTTAACTTTTCTGTAAATTTGAAAATTTTTAACCAATTAAGTTGGGAGAAGGTAATGAGCAAAAATTCCCCCCACACAAACCCATAAATCATAGGATTTTCAAACGAGAATTGTTTCTAGAGAACATAGTTTGAGTCTTCCTTCCTTGCCAGCCCCTAGGCACACCCCTATTTTATATTCAAGAACACCGACTCACTCAACTAACCCAAAACCCCACAGCAAGCTAAAGACAGAAATGAAAGGTTCTTAGGCACAGCTCTGTGATAACCACACAACACAATGACCTGCAACTAAAGGAATGTTTGGAACTTGCAAAGTTCTCTCATACATCTTGGCTCACTTGATCTTACCAATTCTGTGGCAGACAGCAGGTGTGGGTCTTCATGCCTGTTTACAGGTGAGAAGAGTAAGGTTCACTAAGCTAGTGCCAACACTGGAATACTGCCTTTCAATCCTAGACTAGGAAGATAACTTTCCCTGACACCATGCCACGAAGTATAAATGCCACATAAAAATGTGGTCTAAAAATACAGAGCTACCACTTGTACTCTCCTTAAAAAGATCTCTTCCTGGTAGACACAGGAACTTTTCTTCCCAAGGTCACACACATTAAAACTAGCCCAGGCTGCAAAAACGAAAACCTTGCCCCTGCCACATCACTGCGTTATAGAGTTCCTAAAACACACATTGAAAGTATAAAAGGGAAAGGTTTGAGTAAATGAAGCTACTTTCTGCTCCCCTCACTCCAAGCCAAGAAATGGTCTTAGTAACCAAAAGGGTAATGCTGTCCACAGCACAAGAATGAGAATATATACTTATTCCTCATAAGTAATTGCTGCAAGTGTAAAATGAAGAAAAAAAAAAAATCAGCTGACCAAAATCACCACTGTGGTTAGGCAGGAAGCTTCAGAACAAAATAGTTCATAACTATTCATAGCATGTGAACTGAGATGAAAACTGAAGTGTCCCAGAGACCTGCCATGCCACGCTACCTAACTGTGTGTGCTCTACCTAATACTTCAGTGAGCCACTGTGCAAAAGAGCCTGCTACAGGAAATGCAGCTCTGTGACAACCAAGTATCCTCCAAGCACATGAGGTGACTGGAGTAACAATCGGCACAGAAAATGACTGCATACACACCAGAAGACACCTCAAACTGACTATACATTTTCAAGTCAATTATTTGAAAATCTAGGGTCAAACTACATGACGATTTCAGTAGTCTCAGAGTCTAAGAATGAAGGGGCACAAATGAGATCATGAGAGAAAAGGGATGGGAAAATTGAATCTTATCTTTCTTTTACCATCACATTATTACAAGAAACTTTAATTGAGTGACAGCATATGTTTTTAATAAAAATATGTCTGGCTTAATCAAGAGAAGATGTGTGAGGCTTAAGGACCAGATAGTTTCATTTAGTGCTGCTTAACTTTCTATTCTAAACTAGCACCAGCTCAGTTAGCTGCCTGTTGTACTGCCTGTTGTACTGCCTGTGACTGCTAACCACTGGCCTGGAGAGACATGCCCTGTATGCATGCACACACAAAGCCTCAGAAGGAAAAGCATGGAACCATGATTAGATATCTCTCAACCATATCAGATTTTCCTCAAACAAGGATTCACACAGGTGCTACTGGAAGCCTTAAATCCTGAGAACTTTTTAATCTGGTATTCTAAATTGCACCAAAATGCATCCAGAATCTGCCCACTAGTCACTATCACCTCAGGCCAGGACCACCACCAGAATCTCAGGCTTGGACATTACAGTAGCTCCTAACCTTGGATCTATCTGGTCTCCCCGCTGCTTCCACTCTCGCCCCCTGCAGACCATTTTCAACACAGCAGCCACATGGTTCTTAAAACATGAGAGCATGTCACTCACTCCTGCTCAAAATCTGCCTTAACTCCCCAACTCAGAGTATAAGCAAAGGTTCTATGATGGCCTACAAGCCCCTATGTGATCTGGTCCCTATTACCTTTCTGAGCTCATTCCTACACACTTCCCCTTTGCTCACTCTACTCCAGCCATGCGGTTCTCAATGCAGTTCCTTCCTCCAAAATGCCAGGGGAATGGGCAATTGCACTGTCTGTTCCTGTGACTGGACTGCTCTTTCTCATGGGATCCACATGGGCAACTCCATCACCACCTTAAGTCTTTGCTCAAATTTCACATTCTCAGTGAGAAATTCTGATGACCCTATTTAAAACTAGAACTGCTCACCCTACTCCCTTCATACCAACACCCCTAATCTTCCAATAATCCATAGCACTCATCACCTAAAGCACCATGTAACTGACTTATAACAAGTATTGTCTGTTTTCCCTACCAGAAGGTAAGCCCCATGGAGCCAAGAATCTTTATTTTATTCACAGATTCATGCCAAGCACATAAAGCTGTGTCTGGCACACAGCACACAGGCTTTCAACGATCATTGCAAGAGTAAATAAGTAAATGATAAATCTGTTTGAATACTTAACATAATAAGTATATTCTGAATCACTACTCCATCCATGACTTTGGGGTCTGTAATTGTCCAATCAATTTAACAAGGAGGTCATTAGAGTGAGGTGGCTCTAATGTCCTGGCACCTACATAAGAAAACCAAACTAAGCCTCTAAATGTCTCAATGTTACAAAAGCAGAACCTAAGGATGGGCCATCACAAACAGCCAGCTAACTACAGACAATCAATCATTTTTTTACTTTGCTCCTACCTTTTCTTTATAAAGGTTTTTTCTCAGCTCCAGACAATGGAGCACTTCTAACCACTTCTGGTTTGGTGCTGCCTGATTTAAATTGAGTTTTGCTCAAAGAAACTCCTGAAGTTGTAATATGCCTCAGTTTATCTTTCAACTGTTCTGATGTCAGACATGGGACCCTAAGGAGACCTTCAACAGTCCCCAAGAACAAGAAGCAGCCAGGTAAGTTTGCCCACTGAGCCCGCCTTGCTCAATGCTTTCTCCCTGCATCTGGAGTGTGCAGGTATCTGTGATCCAAAACTTTTGCATTTAAAAGAGCTCTCCAAATTTATCTAAGCATTTCTTTCATCAGACTGGGTCTGAGGCCAGCCAATTTAACAGAAACTGGATTGGATCTAACTTAAAACCCAGATTGGTTCTGAGGTCTTGCTGGGTCCAATTTAAGATGGACTGGGTCCAGGGTAAGGCCTCAAGTATCAAGAATGACAAAAAGAGAAAAATTTATCTCTCTGGCTCCACATAATCTGGAACTCCTCCATCTGGGATGCCAGCAACTACATGTATAAAAACTGGTCCCAGACACTGTATTTTCTGAATCAGTGGGTTAACCTTACCAAAGATAATCTGGAATTATCTTGGCCAAGTAGGGAACTTTTAACCTAGACAGGCTTATCCATTCACAAGATGCTCTAGGAAAAAAAGGGTCAAATTTCCCCACAAAAAAAAAACAGGATGCATTTTTATTGGTATGCAGCAGCTTATAAGAAACTAAATGAATCAAAAATGCCCTGGATTCCAAAATAGCAGCAGAGTAAGTGAAAACCACACTGACACTCTCCCAGGACCAAACTGGAAATGTAACTAAAATACAGAAATACCACCCTGAAATATCAGCTGAAGACTAGCTGGAGAGAACCCTGATAACCAAGGACAGAAAGTGAGACCACATAGCCTCTAGTAGGAAGTGCAAAGGTGCAAAGAAGCTGGCCAGGCTCCCATAGATAGGAGCTGAAGTTCTGAAGGGATATCTCAGCTCTTCACCTGCGGGGAATTCCCACTGAGAACTCTGGGGTCTAAACCTCAAGCTGAGTTCCCAGCTCAGAGCACCAGAACTGAGAAAGGTGCCCACATAGCATCTAGCTATGAAAAGCAGAAGGGTTGCTATCTGCCAGGGAAGGACGGCTGGAAATGCAGGCACCCTTTTAAGGGCCAACACAAAAAATTCTGTGCGCAACTACTCACCTTGGGCTCTGGCAGAAGGAAGGCAGAGTGCACTGGAGCTGTGTGAGCACAAGCCAGGATTGGAGGTTCTGGGGTTGGAGCCTGGAAGGCAGCCACGCCCCGGTTTCTGGTGCTATGCCATTCCCTCACATTGTGCAGGAAATCTTTCTCCCATGAACCTTTGCTATGCAAGGGGTTTATGCCCGAGGGGAAGTCAGCTGACCCACCCTATTCGAAGACCTCTTGGTTCACAGCCTGAGCCTAATCAAGACTGAATCTCAATAGGACTGCAGGCAGAGCAGGACCTCTGGAAGCTTTGAGTCTTTGCCTTATCTAACCCAGGGCCAGGGGCTAAGAAAAGCCCCTGGTGCACATCTTGGTCCTTTCCAAAGGCAAAAGAACCAGTAGAAGGAGGTACAAGCTATGGATTGCTGATAGCTCCAAAAAGGGTATTCAAGGCCAGTCACAAACAGGGTCTGACATTGTCCTGCACTAGAGATTGGGAAGAGTAGCAGATCCACGTACTACACAGAAACAACCCCAAAAAGGAAGCCAAAATGGGGAGACAAAAAAAAAAGTCCCAAATGAAAACAAGACAATTCTCCAGGAGAAGACCTAATGAAATGGAGATAAGTAATTAATCAGATATAGCATTCAGAATAATTATGGCAAAGATGCTCAAGAGCGTAAGATATTATAACTATGAAGAATGCCATAGCACCAATAAAGAACACAGTGGAAAGAATACACAGCAGATTAGGGGAAGCTGAGTACCAGATTAGCGAATCAGAAGATAGGGCAGAAAAAAATAACTCAATCATGACCAGCCA